TTTTGTCATTTTGAGCCGTTTCAACGTTGAAAAGGAACGTCATCAACGAAATTCGTGGAATCGTTTTTGCTTGTTAATGAGATAGTGGGTGTCATTGTTTTGGAAAGTTCAAGGGAGTGAACCACCGCCTCCCTTATTCCTTTCTGTTATTGAGACGTGAACCCTACTTATCCTGTCCTTTTAACCTTTTCAGTCATTTTCTGCCGTTTCAACGTTGAAAAGGAACGTCATTAACGAAATTTGTAATGAGATAGTGGGTGTCATTGTTTTGGGAAGTTCAAAGGAGTGGACCATACCCCCTTTTTTCTTTCTTTCTTTCTGTTATTCTTGGGAAAATTATCTTCTTGCGTTGAAAGAGCTTGCCACGCTCTACGATAATTATGGTTTGAGGAACAAAATATTTTAGAAATTTTACATTTAAATTTGAAAATTGGAAAGTACAAATCATGCACGATGTTTCGATATTTTGCATTTCAAAGTGTTACAATTATAATAATGTTAGAAAGGTTAAATTAAAAAGAAAATCATAAGGGGTAGTTTGGAAGGTTTTAAGTTTTTCGTATTAATATTGCAGTATACGATGTTCTTGGAAGAACAAATTACCTCCAATAAGCTGAAACTTTTTGTAATATTAAATAAATGAGAACAGGAAAAATTTTGATAATTATGTTTATAGTAACATTGTCAATGTAATTAAGATTATGACAGTACAATCTTTTTTCGCTAATTTATTGAATTTTGAATGCCAAAATGTGAAATGAACATAATGACGAAATTTTTTTGAATTTTTATTGTCTAAGTCTAAAATTTCAATAAAATAAGAAAAAAAAATATCATACATCAAGTTTTTGTATTTGAATAGTTGTACAAGGGAAATTTCAATCTTCAACAAGAGAAATGTATTTTCACTAACTTATCCGCCTTGTAGTATAAAAATATTTCAGAATAAAATGAATCACACATTTTGAAAGTAGAGGCTTCAACCTTTCAGCTGAGCTTCAGTTTATTATTGTACAATTTTTTTTTACAAAATTATTGACAATAATTGAATATTTAGTATTGGAATATTTCAATGTCCGAATATTAACGGGAGTAGCTGTATCTCAAATGCAATAATAATGGACGATCGTGACAGATAAATTATCACGTTACGAACTTAACTTCGCGTAATCGGAAATAAAGGGGAAAGTAGAAAGCTTGCTGTTTGTCAAATTTATCGTACACGGGGCTTTGCCCGATTCCGCGAATTAGCAACGTTACGGTTTTTTTTTTTTTTT